GATTCGCACGCAAATGCCCTACCGCACGGTAGGTTGATGCCGGCGAGGGACTCGAGGACGCTTTAACTTGCCGGAGGACAGGTTGCCAACGAGGACAATGCTAGGGAGCTGGATTCCCTCCTCCATGACCATAAGGTGTCGAAACTTGTTGAGCAGGGGGCGGATCCGATTGTTGTAGGAGAGAGAGAGAGAGATCACGACCCAGAAGGGATTAATGGGGAGAGAGAGAAAGAGAGTGATAAGAGCAGATTTGGGAACCCATTATTGAAAGTTGGGGGTTTTTTTGTGACAAAAATAAGTTTGAGACAGATTTTAGTTTAGACCTAAAGTTAATGATTTTTTAGGGAATTAGGCCGTTTTAATAATGATATGGGGTAAATTTTATTTTTAATTATAAGTGGATTGATCCCCAGGCATAACTGAGACCGAATCGGAACATATCCGTTCCCGGTTCTAAATCCTCTTTGTTATAATCCGTTAACATGGTGCTCACTCTCATCCAAATGTTGCTCTTGTGCCATGCGAAATCCTAGCCTACGACTTGATCAGAGCACCTGAGCTCTCTCACCGACTCCGCAAGCTGGTCCATGGAGTCGTCATTCTTCAGAAGCAATAATTTTGAGGAGAAACATTATTAAGATTGGAACCTCAGGTTGGGTCTAGGTCAGGTTTGGCCTCTAACATTGTATTGCATAAAAATGGTTTAATATAGGCCAGTCTATTTTTGACCCGACCTAACCCACCCGGTCGACGTGCCTAATCATGAAGAGTGGTCACAGTAAAGTCTTTAGAATGGAAAATCTATTCTGCTTTTCTAGCATTAGACCATAGGTTAAGACTCTCTCATGCAGTTGATTTAGTGTAGATCTTTTCCGATCACGATTGCGGCACAACTTTGAGTACATAAGTGATTGGAATGTAATTTCGAAGAACATATAATGATTTCAAAAGTGTGAAACGTAAAAGTTTATTAACCATCACAAGTCCAAAGAATGATAACCTTCAATGAAACGTGCGCACTCCAATAATGCTTTTGAGTTACAATGAAAAGTTAATATTACTCTAGAGTACGATTTTTCGGCAAAGGAAACATGGACCGGAAATTGATCTTATAAATATGACTTATTAGCAATGAATTAACTAAAGAAATTATTCAAATGTTGACCTTTAAACTTCGAAAATAAATTTCGACAAAAAAAAACTTTGAAAATAATTTCCTTTCTTGTTTTAGGAAATAATATGTATTAACTTTCGTAATGCAACTGTAGATGAATGATTTCTTTTTCCGTTGGTGTACGAAATTAAAAAAGAAAAATATTATAGACACTAAACATACTTACCGTAAAATGGAAGGATGTTGTCAACGATGAAGTCCTCAATGTAGCGGACACAGTGGCCGGAGGCGGTGCTGTCAGCATACGAGAGCCTTCGCCTGCCAAACGGCGAGTCAAACTCGGTGTTGCCACCGATGATCTGAGAGCGGAGCCACAATAGCTTCTTCTCCATGTCGGAGACGCCGCCCACCGCCGGGACTCCCGTTCCAAGCTTGCGAAAGGATTCTGAGTGCTCACACAAATCATTCCTTGACGATGATGATGGAGTACTCTTGCCATTTCTTGGGTCGATGTATTTGTTCATGATGTTGATATGGGATTGCCTCGTCATGCTGGGTTGCTCTAGTTCCATTGTATTACTGAACAAGAAATTCGAGTGTACGAGGGGAAAGAATGAAGGACTCCATGGGCTTAAATAAGATGGGTTTGGTACGAGAAGGTAAAATTAGACCAATTTAATTCCAAACATATTCACATTGATATCAATTTAGTCTATTCGATCAATATAGACCGAAAATCACTAACATGAATGCCAGCCGTCCTACATGGCATGACTGGCATAACGTAGACATTTTTAATATTTAATATCTTTTTATGTTTTTCTTTTCTTTTTATTATTTTTCTTTTTTTTCCTTCATTTTGGCCGAGTAGGACCAGCAAGCCCTTGCCTGTCACGGTAAAGGTGGCCCTCGCTCAAATCTTGGGGGGGGGGGGGGGGGCGGCTTCGTGCGAGGCCACAAAGGCCTTGTTGGCCGTCGCTGGCCAAAATGAAGGAAAAGAAAGAAAGGAAAGAAAAAAATAATTATATAAAAATTCAAAATATTATTAAAATATTATCTAAAAATGTCTACGTGAGAGTAAGCCGTGCCACATAGGATGGCCGGTATCTACGTTAGCGATTTCAGGCATAAATTGGTCACATGGATTAAATTGGTACCAATGTGAAAAGGCTTAGGACTAAACTAATCCAATTAAAAAATTTAGGACTGAATTGATACTAATACAATAAGTTTAGAACATTTGTTAAACGTTTTCCCTGTAAGTCCCAGCATGCAATGTGTAAATCTTATCTTTATAGTAGAGCACATTTACGGTTGAGAAAAAGAATGGGATGACTTCTGTATTTATATTCTAGAGCAATAAATGATGAAGCTCTAAGCAGCGGCGCCGACAACGGCGGGTGGTGATGGACAGTGGGGAGATTAGGGATTGAGTATGAGTAGGTAATAGGGTGCACCGGAGATTTTGGGAGATTGGTACTTTTCAAATAGGGATAGTTTGATCCTTTTCAGTGATAAGATTTGGTACGGGATGTTAAGCTGTATATGGAAACACCAAATGGTGCAAAGTGCTGGCAATGCAAAAGGTGAGAACCTTTGATGTATTTTTCTCAAAGTCTATACCGTTGCAATTATTTCATTAAGCGCGATAGGCAAGTTATTGACTGCAGTGTATTTGAACCCGTGGGAAAAGTTGGTAATTCACTTAAATTAAGGTTTGAAACTTCGTATAAGGATCGGTAACTTTAACGCATTTGTAACTCTATATACGGTACACTAGTAAAAGTTGGAAATTTGTTGGAACCGCGGGAAATGCGAAACAATCAAATAAACAACAGTGATTAATATGAGAATTTATACCTGCATAATGAGTTAGTGACAAAGCCATTCAATATTAGATTTGAACTAGGACATAGCTACACGTTTTTTTTTCTTAATTAATTCGTCGAATTCCTTAGCTAGGCCTAAACAACCTGTATGTCCTTTATAATAATAGAACATCTATTTGCCAGAACTGACCAAGTCGAACTCACTAAAAGTGCTCTAGTTTTTGTTCTCAGGGTGGCAGTACTTGATCATGTGATGTCTCTTTTTTTTTTTTTGGGTCGAATGTGATGTCTCTTTTCATTAGGCATGTTATGTTACTCACATAGCCATATGAGCTATATATAATCTAGACTGCTTCGTTTTTTTTTTTTTTCTCACTCAAGCCACATGATGCCACATCAATTTTGTTTGCCTTCCATTGTTCACGCCAGTCGCCGCGTAAAAGTTAATGGCACTGATTGACAGAGCTGGATGACCGAGGTACATGTGTTATAAATTGGAGTTTTGTATTTTTGATAACACAAAAAAAGTTTAAGGTACTGGCATTAAATTGGAGTTTTTGATGACATTTTCTTTTACCCAAAATTTAGGTTGGAAGAGATTTCCACCGATGAGAGCCAGCACTTGCCCTTAGTCGCTTGTGCCCTCTCTCCAAACCACCACCGGCCTAGCCATGCCATGTCGCAATCGGGACCGTTGAAGCCCTTGCCACCGCGGAGTCGATCCACCTCGCACCTCCCTCCCTATCGGCCAGTTGCTAGCCATAGGCGAGGCTTGGCCTCGCCTGTGGTTGGTCACTAGCCATTGCCGTGGCCGGCAACCAACAGAGGAATAAAGAAAAGAAAATTAAAAAGAGAAAAAAAGGAAAGAAACAAAAAGAAATATTAAAAATTATTAAAAAATTTAAAATTCAAAATATAAAATATTATTTAAATTTTGATTTTTTTAAATAAAATAAGAAATTATTAAGAGGAGTGCAATAAGGATTTTTCATATCGAACGACGGAAAATATTTTTTAGTTCATTTTTAGGTCTTAGCCGAATACCGGAAAAAAATATTATCATTTTCATGGAAAATGACTTTCCAAAAATATTTTCCAGAAACGTCACACTTTCCGCGAAACGAATGGAGCCTAATATATGTTTACTCCATAATACATGTTTTTTTTATGCATTTCCTTCAAAAAGTATACCTTCAGGTTTTCACATGGTGCCCTTCATCGTTAAAACAGGAATTAGAAAGTTGTGCTGATAAATGGAGTAGTTGCTACGATGGTGGTATTACAGTTATCATCCTAGTAAGAAGCGACAGAAAGCAATCTATCAAATCAAATAAGAAATTGTTCAACTTGTGAGCCACAAGTTGCAGCAACTTGTGAGCCCCAGTTGCAGCAGCGTTACCAGCTTCTCTGTTGGTTTATAGAGTTGAAATCATCCATGACGCACTCACTTCGATTATGCATTAGTTTCTTCTGTCACGCCTAAAACTGATTATGGACCACGTGTGCTGCTTGTAAACAGCGGTAAGCTTATCTTGGAACTGTGGCATGATTTAAATAAAGTGAAAGTGAAAGTCAATTCAGATAGAGATTAAAGTAATACTTCATCTGTGTTCAACAAAAAATTTACGGTGTTTGATGAGGGCATTGAGTTGGGATGAATTCATAATCTGGATTCTACACGTAAACGTGATTGAAGGCCCTTTTAACTCAATCGCCAGGATATGGAGTGAATTTTATAATTGTTGTTTTCACTTCTATTTAAATGATATGTAGAGAAACTATTGGAGGAGGCCAAAAACTTCGCGCGACGGAAGCAATATTCAAATATCTTCGAAGGTCAACGAAATGAAAAACCAGAAACTGGGATTGCTGCCCAAAATACTTAAGGCGCCGTTCGTTGCATCCTCGTACTGAGTTCAACAAACCACTGGTTTTGACATGGTCTTTGCTCTCTATATCTCTCTCTCTTGTTTCTTGTACGCTGATTGGTGCTAAACTATGAGTTTTCTAATTCTCTCTGTCATAATCGTCCACTATAAATACCCATCAGGAAGTTCCTCTTCTTCACATCCAAGAAACAAGAAAAAACTCCATCTTTATCTAGTCATCAAAGTCGAGAGAAAGCGAGGAAAGTTGCTGTAAAAGATGTCGAGCACTGTCGGGAAAGTCATTCGTTGCAAAGGTACTCGTATGAAGAATCCATGTATTACTTCATGTTTTTAGTAGATTTGCGTTGCCATTTGGGGTCTTTAAGTTCTTAGCGTCTATACAAATTCATCAGCCAATGTTCCGCTTGATAATGCAGTGGGGTTCTTGAGCTCTTCGGCTAGATGGGTTGTTTGGATCTTTATCAGATTAGTACTGTATTGTGTTTTGCTATTTCGGGTTGTTGGAAGAGTTCCACAATGTATCTTAAATTTCAAAGAAGGAAGGTTAGGGAAAAAATCGATGCTTTAGCGTCAGTGACATTGTTCAACTGATTTATGCAATGGCTAGATTCAGGGCCATTGATGATGTCTCTGTGCACGTGTGATCTTGATGCAGTGCATGTCTTCCTCACACATGATGCAGAATTTTCTTTGTACGCATAAGCATTCAACTTCATTTTATTTATTTTTTTGGTCGAAAGCATTCAACTTTATTAATCCAGCGAACTTTGTGTCACAGCTGCTGTGGCATGGGAAGCAGGAAAGCCACTGGTACTCGAGGAAGTGGAGCTTGCCCCTCCACAGGCGATGGAGGTTCGTGTGAAGATCCTCGTCACTGCCCTCTGCCACACAGATGTTTACTTCTGGGAGGCTAAGGTAACCATTACTAATTTTTTATTGCCTCTCATGTTCCTCATTAGTTTTCCATCAGTGCTCATTGTTTAACTCCATCGGTTCTTCGATATTCAGGGACAAACCCCTGTGTTTCCCCGCATATTCGGTCATGAAGCAGCTGGGTAAGGCCTACTCCTTCACAAAATCATTCCACTTAAATCGTGTTTTCCAATTGTAACTGTCTTTATGTCGATTTTCAGCATTGTGGAAAGCGTTGGTGAGGGCGTGACAGAACTTAAACCTGGTGATCATGTGCTTCCCGTGTTCACTGGGGAGTGCAAGGAGTGTCGGCACTGCAAGTCCGAGGAGAGCAACATGTGTGACCTCCTCAGGATAAACACGGACAGAGGGGTGATGCTGAACGATGGCAAGTCGAGGTTTTCAATCAATGGGAAGCCCATTTATCATTTCGTTGGGACTTCGACTTTCAGCGAATACACTGTGGTTCATGTTGGTTGCCTGGCTAAGATCAACCCGGCTGCTCCCCTTGACAAAGTCTGTATTCTCAGCTGCGGGGTCTCCACTGGTATGCGAAGAACTAAGATCTGAGGCATTTGATGTTAGAAACAGCATGTTACTTGCTCAAAAAGATATACTTCGAAAAAATTGATCCGTTTTTCTTTGAAGGTCTTGGGGCGACCCTGAATGTTGCAAAACCCCCAAAAGGTTCAACCGTTGCGATATTTGGGCTAGGAGCTGTTGGCCTTGCCGTGAGTTTCTCATAATCCTTGCTCCGTGTCACTCATTTTCTATGAAGTAATAGCAGTTGTTTTAGAGAAGGATGCTCCCAGCAGTGTTGCTGATGCAAAGATGCTGTTCTCTTTGAATTTTTCTGTCAGGCTGCTGAAGGCGCCAGAATTGCTGGGGCTTCAAGAATTATTGGGGTTGATCTAAATCCGGAAAGGTTCCTCCCAGGTGGGTAGAATTCGTACAACTTAAGTACTAAATTTCGCTAGATGAGAAGATAAACAGGAGGCTTGATATGTATGCTAGATTTGAGATTATGGTGCCAAGCAATTTTGTACCTCCTTTTCAATAATGACCACGAAAGTGCGTTGGTTCAGGTTCAACTGTAATTGTCTTACAATGATTTGTCTTCTCTGTTTGACAGCCAAGAAATTTGGAGTTACCGAGTTTGTGAACCCAAAAGATTATGAGAAGCCTGTTCAAGAGGTTAGTCAACAAGTATATGTAACTGAAAAAGAAAGTAGAGAAACTGGAGACTTCTTTTCTGTTCTAATTCTTCAATTTCACTATTTGCAGGTGCTTGCTGAAATGACCGGTGGAGGAGTCGACCGAAGCGTCGAGTGTACTGGAAGCATCAGCGCTATGATTTCCGCATTTGAATGTGTCCACGATGTAATTTTTCAATAGCTTTGAATAGTATTCCTTTATGGTTGATTGCATGTAGCCATGAATTACAAGATTTTCCATGATCTGGGCTTGCAGGGATGGGGCATGGCCGTGCTCGTTGGCGTGCCAAACAAGGATGACGCCTTCAAGACCCACCCGATGAACTTGCTGAATGAGAAAACGCTCAAGGGCACCTTCTTCGGTAACTACAAACCGCGCACTGACCTCCCTAATGTCGTCGAGATGTACATGAGGAAGGTAAGTACAAGCGCACGCATAGCAATATGTTGCATGCCTTCTTGCTGGTGATCCAAGTCTTATGTTTTATCCCTCTGTTGTGTATCCTCAGGAGCTTGAACTGGAAAAATTCATCACTCATGAGGTGAGTCTATCAGAAATCAACAAGGCCTTCGAGTACATGCTCCGAGGCGAGTCTCTCCGGTGCATTATCCGGATGGATGCGTAGTGCGCCACTGATCTGCTGTCGGGTTTCGTAATGTGGGAGTGCCAATAAATTCAGCTTGACATATGAGAAAAGAAATACAGAATGCGGAAGAACGTTCCTTTTCTTTCCTTTTCTGTTTTATTTCTCGTGCCTTTCGCCTTGGTTTTCTTCCTCAGTACATGATGCAAATAATACTGTAATAGAGTTGCAGAAGTCATTGAGCTTTCTCTTCTGTTGATATATCTAGTGTTTTCAGAGTATTTGTTGGTCATTAAAGTTGCAATGCCATCCTTTTTTATGTATGAACATGACAGCTCATGTTTTCAAATTAAGATTGTGAACTTTTGTTTCTGAAATTGCTGTGCAATTACATGTCAAAGATGTATGGTTTGTTCCCCTAAACACCTCTGAAAATTCTAACATAGCAATTTAATTATAATGGAAACTCATTCTTCACATATCTCAACAAGCTACAAGATTTCAATTATCAAAAACTTGATTTGTCACTCAAGAAGTTTCTTTCCAACTTGATAAAATCATCTACTTTTTCGGAGATGGAATCTCTATGTTTCCAATAATTAATGAATAAGAACTAAATTCAAATGCTCATTGAATATTGTTGAAGCATTTTTTTAGTAGTTTCAGAGATTACTGATTCCATAAACATAAAATGGGGTTCATTTTCAACTATGGAACACATGTAATGGGACGATTTAATTATTATGTTTCCAAAAAAAAAAAACGGACATTTTTTCGTGCTAGTAAATTATTGAAGGAATTGGTATGTGTAAAAAGAAATGTTTGCTAAAGATGTTTCGGTTGCTTGATTTCCAAGTATTTTATTGTAATGACAACTTTCTTTTACAGTATACAAATTACCAACTTTTCTTATCTTTTACCAACTTTCGATTATCTTTTTTATCAATGCCTTCAATTTACCAACTCTTTTATAAATTTTACTAAGCTTTATTTGAGCGGCTGACCAACTTTTCTCCAATTAAATTTCTAACTAGTTTTGAGTTATGAATTTTCATCTGAGGCAATTACCAATGTTTATTTTATTTATTTTTAAATATATCAACTTTTGTTATCGTTTACATTTTACTAACTTTCATCTATCCTTTCACAAAGTGATTACTAACTTTTTCCTGATTAGATTACAAACCAATTTTACGAAACCAATTCTTTTTTGAATTTATTACCAAGATTGATTCTTTTTCTAAATTATCAACATCTCTTATCTTTAACTAAAAAGTTTCTCATATCGTTTTTTTTTTTGTCAGAAGTTTCTCTTATCGTTTACCAACGGCTTACTTTTCAATGAAATCAACAACATATATTTGTGTGACTTACCAACTTAAGTTACCAACTCGTTTTGAGTTACCAATTCTAATTGAAATTATTCACCTTTTTTACTTAAATTTACCAATCATACTATTGAGTTACTACTTTTATTTACCATGCTTACCAACTTTTTAATTTACCAAATCCTTTTCAAAATAACCAGCCTCATATAAAGCGACTCTCAACTTTTCTTCAGTTAAGTTACTTATTAAATTTTCGACACCAACTCATGTAAGACTTAGTTTCCAACGTTTATTTGTTTTTTCGATTTACAAATTTATTTTATCTCTAACCGAAAAAAAATCGTCTTATTTTTACTAACTTTATCTTATCAAGGCCTTAAATTTAGGGCCGCGCTTTTTCTCCTCATTTAGCTTAAATATTCATTTGTTTCGTGTTTTGACCAAACTATCCCTTGTGTGGCCCACCATTTTTGTTGGTTAAAAAAAACTATTTTTATTCTGTTTCTTCTTTTTTTATCTTGGAGGTCCCACTTTCCTTCTTCTTCTTTATTTCCACGCCTTTGATGTCTCAGTTCTCGGCTCTTGCAAAACGTCACTATGTTTTCTCTCTTGCAGGCAATTCTCTTCTTTTTACGCCTCCCTACTCCTTGAATTGCAGGGCGTTGATACAAGGTTGGCTTGCATTCACACTAATAAAGATCGATTTTACAAAGACAACGTAAACATACATTGGTAATCCCAACACCAGTACACAATTGCAAATGACAATCGACTAATAATTTTCCGAGTCAATCTTATGGCTTTAGTCCAATGATATATGGTACTCAGAAAACATAAGCATTTACACATGCAACACTTTGGCCTTTCTGTCATGAACAAACACAATCCATTGATTATCTCAACTCATGTACAAGATGCCGTCAGAAGGTCAAAAAGAAAAACTTCACCTCGTTGCAAAGAGTCACAAATTGAGCTGGACACAAATATCATTGGGTAAAGTAGAAAATGGCTTCAACATAACAATGTTGAATGTACGCCATCTTTCAAGTTTAGAGCTGGAAAACTTTATGCAACATGTGAATGTGACATCATACTTGATTCAATGGCGTAATATGTAATAAAAGAGCTCATTGCCTTATCTGAAACCTTATTATGACTACTAACTTAAATCATCAGCAACTATCTACTGGTGTTAGTGTTGCCAATATATGTTTACCTTGTTTTTGTTGAATTCGGTCTTTATTAATGTGAATGCAAGCCAACCTTGTTTCAATGCCCACAACTTGAGGAGTAGGGAGGCGAAAAAAGAAGAGAATGGCCTACAAGAGAGAAAACATAGAGACGTGGTGCAATTAAAGGCATGGAAAGAATGAAAAAGAAGAAAAGTGGGATCCATAAGGAAAAAAAAAGAAGAAACAAAATAAAAAGATTTTTTTTTGGTTTGTAAAAAAAAGAGTTCACCAACCAAAAAAGACAACTCTACAGTAGAGTTGTAATAGAAGTGGCGAGCCACACAAGAAATATTATGGTCAAAACACAAAAAATTGGAGTGTCTAAGCTAAAGGAGGAGTGAAAAAAGCGCCACCCTAAATTTATTCTTTGTCTTATGAAATTACCAACCTTTTTTGTTTGACATACAAGCTTTTCTTCGATTAAGTTATTAACGAGTGGTCAAATCTTATTTAAGTTTCTTACAAATGTTTATTCAGTTTTTTTTTAAAAATTTACCAACTTTTTAATATAGTAACCACATTTATTGGCCACCCAATAGAAAAGTTGGTCAATGAAAAATAATCAAATACTTGTTGGCACCCGATTCAAGTGAGAGTTGATAATCTAAATTTTGTTGATAACTTAATTGGAGAAAAGTTGATTATTCAATTATAATAAAGTTCATAATTTCACATGACAGTTAGAAAATCTAAGGCATAGTTAAGAAATAAATAAAGGTTGGAAAATTTTTTAATTACAAGAAAAATAAACTTGCTGAGTAACTTATATGAGACTTGGTAACTCAAAACCAATGAATAATTTAATTGGAAAAAAACCGGGTAAGTCAATCTACTTGAGAATGGTAATTTCTAAAGAGTAGGTATATTCAAGGCATTATTAACAAATGCAGATAAAAAATTGTCAAGAAAAGTTAGCAAATTTAAAAAAGTCAAATACACACCCGTGACTCAAAGAGAAGTTAGTAACCCAATTTAATTTAATGAGAGAAAAGCTGCCGACTCACCTTAGGTTGGTAATTTCTTTAAATGAGTTGGTAAACATAATAATTGGTAATTAAGGTAAATAAAATTTGATAATTCAATAGAAAAATGATATAATATAAAGAAAGACAATTGATATAGATAGTATACATTATAAGCAACCTAAATAAGTTTTTTTGCAATTAGATTAGGAAGTTTCAAACACCAACCCGATAAATAATGGATATGATCGACAAAAAAAAATTATGGATATGTTTGTATGCATCTAGATAAAAGCAAAAAGTAATTTTTCTCCTTTCTCGTGGAAATTTAAAATACTATTCAAATTTCAGAAGATTATGAAAAAGTGTATGTGGATCTGCGTAAAAACATTTGAGTGTTGTGAATTTTCAAGAGGTTCGGATCTTAAAAACAAGTGGCATGATTTAAATAAAGTACAATGTGAAAATCAATTTAGATAAACAATAAATTAATAATTCATTTTGTGTTCAACAAAAAATTTACTGTGTTTGATCAGGGAATAGAGTTGGTATGAATTCATAATCTGAATTCTACACATAAACACGATTGAAGGCCCCTTTAACTCAATTGCCAGGATATGGAGTGAATTTTATAAGAAATTTTATCCTATTCGGTGTTTGGGAGAACACTAGATTCGAATGTGTCCGGATATGACCCAGATAAAAAAATCTCACTTAGGGTGAAATAAAGCCGGATAAGATATCTAATATGAAAAAATTGAGAAAAAAACAAACAAAAAGAGAAAAATTCCTTGGACTCGCTTCATTGTTCACTGCTCAACGTCTTCCCTACCAAGTTTACACCTCCCAATTGATCTCTCTTCTCGCCGTCGGCTCGCCACCACTGCCCTCAAGGGGAATTTTTTTGAAGGATCCCCGGTGGAGGAGTTCATCCTCTTCTTCGCTTTCAGCACATAGGGCCGAGGAGATCGCTCTCTCTCTCTCTTCTTTGCTTATTGAAGCCAACACTCACTAATCGATCAATAGACCGGAGCAACTCAGTGAGTCCGACTTGTGGTGGTAGCACCGGAGAACCTGAGCATGGATTAGTACGCGCACCTAACAAAGTTCGCCGAGTGGTATGAGGGGATTGTTTAGTTCATGCAGAAGCTAGTCGAACTGGCTACCATACTCACGTCCGGCACTTCGCACATCCGGCGCCGATCCTCCAACGCTGTGCCTCTTCTTGTGATTCCACTGCACCAAAATCGGGCTATTTCTTCTCCTATTGAACGTACAGCTGATTTCGTTGACTTTGCTCTGGTTTGTATTTGGCAAAGGAGATTTTCAAAAATCTTTGGATTTTTATGCTATTTTGAGTTGCACCAAACATGTAATGGAATTTTCTACAATCGGAGGATATTTGGAGCATTCATAATCCGACCTTATCCTATCCTATCCCAATCCAAATTTAGATGATCAAACGCAACGTTATGATGCCGTTTGTTGGAGCCTCATACCGAGACCAGCAAACCACTGGTTTTGACATGGTCGTGCTCTCTCTATCTCTCTCTCTTGTTTCTTTGTATGCTTATTGGTGCTTGATTATGAGTTTTCCGTTGTTGGAAAAATACTAGATAATTGTTGAAAATCTGTCGGAAAAGACGGAAAAAAATAAGATCAATTGTCCGAAGCGTGCCAGCATTATCTTTAAAGATAATTCAGCTCCTTGGAGTACGAAACTCGGTACG